GGGAATGATGAGGGCAACAAATGTATAGATGTGCTTTACACAATTGATCTATGTATTGTGATGAATTGTATGAGCCCCAATACATTGATTTAAAAAAATCAGGGCATAATCTTACAAGTAATATGATACAGTAGTAAAAATTAATGAACTCATGTATTTGAAATCAGCTGATACAAATTAAAACCTAATTACATATTTTGTATTAGAGCTTAAATTTCTGAGCACCCAGTTTGTAGAAAGTTATGGTTTACAGTGGAAGACAAAATCCATTTAATCCTTTCTGACCATTTTACCAGTAATGTGAATAGCTTTGCCCTCAGGCAGAGCACCTTAAAAGGAGATTATTACCACTCATCTAGACAGTATTTATGTATTTACCCACTCAACTGTTGATATCAATAAAAAGAAATTAGTTGAAATGGCTCTATTAATAACTATATGTTCTTGGGCAAGTTATTTGGCCATTATGGGTTTTAATTTCTTCCTTGGTAGATGGTATATAGATGTACCTAGTTGGTGGCAACTATTATTATTAAAAACTAAACAAACTCACCACCATCAAATCAATTCTGACCCATAGCAATCCGGTAAGACAGGGTATAACTGCCCCTGTGGGTTTCTGAAACTGTAACTATTTTATGGGATTAGAAAGCCTCATCTTGCTTTCATGGAGCAACCGGTGGTTTCAAACTGCTGGTCTTTCGATTTATAGCCCAACTTGTAACTGCTACAACACCAGGTACCACAACTAAAACTCATAAAATATTTGTTGCTTAGTTGCAACCACTTACAGAGTGTTGACACATAGCTTAATTCTTAAGCGCTACTCGACTTTTTGCTAATGCATTCTGGTGGGCACTGAGAAGCAAATTATTGAAATTGCTGATGGGTGATTTATGTTACTTCCTTGTCCTCCCTCCCAGAGCAGTACCCTGGGCTTTCAACCTCTAGTCCAAGACCAAGGCCTTTGGCATTATTCACTCTGTCAGTTTTTGCCTTATTCCACCTTATGCATTTTTCCAATCCCATCTACTCTTTTCTTAATTGTTTCCTCCTATGATTCTATTAATGAAGAAGAAACAGCAACAAACCCAAATGCCCTATGCTCTCCTGTCAATGCTTTCTTGACTCTCATATGGTGGATGAGAACAAACTAAATTATAGCTTTCATACTAACTCCAAATCGACAAAAAGTAAGATAAATGCAAGTTCAGATATCTTAGTGAGAGGATTTGGTCTCAGTCCCAACAGAGAGTACACAAAGGCTCAATTCATTGGTCCCTGCTCTCTTCGAGGACATCCCTAAAAGAGAACTGAAAACATCATACTGTTAGGGGACTCTGAAATGATACAAAAATATGAATCAAAGCGTACAAATACATTCCCTGTATGTATATAGAAAGAATAATTGAAACTTAATTCTGCCATCTCCAACTGACTCATTTACATTATATACTGCAGGAAGAAAGACCCACTAGAAGAAAGACACTAAGACTTATTCATCCCACTTGATTCCAGGGCAGGGAAATGGAAGTGGGGTCACATGAAGGCATGAAACACAAATATGTAGTGGTGGGAAGGGTTCTGATAATCTAGTGACAGTTAAAGTGCATACACAAGGGAGGTTCTCGCAAACTTTGCTTATGCTACACTTTCTGAGAGTTGTAAGAAATAGATTGTATTAGTCTGGGTACTTTGGAGAAACAAATCCACAGCAACACATGTATAAGAGAGTTTTATGTAAAGAAAGTGTGCATCACGAAAACATCCCAACCCAATGCTGCCCAAGCCCACAAGTTCAACATTAACCCATTAACCCA